GTGTTGATGGTGCGTCTATGATTAGGGAGACGCTTGAAATCCAGGCCATGACCTTGGCTATGACAAAGTATTTCTCTTTTTCATTTTATTTAAGCCATTCTTTCGTTTTGCTCACTAGATAGTGTGTGAACTGAGCAGAAGTAGGGTACCTCTCTCTCTCTGACTATGGGGCATAATGGCCAATTGATTGATCCTGTTAACAGCACGTAGCGGCTCCTCATTGGATGTTACTGTGATTGACTGAGGAAGGAGAAGAGAGGGAGACCGGGCGAAACCACTCATCAGGCCAATACTCGGACTGAAAAATATGTAAAGATTGAACCCCTCTGGTGTGCATCTAGATTCGGATTTCATAGAGGATTATGTGCATGTAGCTGAGTTAGATTACAAATCTGGGTAATTTCGGTTGGATTAGCCTCTTAATCACACAGTCATCGGCGCTGAATCCCCGCCCCCATAACCCCGCGAATAAACAGCCAAACGGGCAATAAGGATGCGGAGAGGATCCTGGTGACGCTGCGATGGGTGCCTACGAAGATACCGATATTCAAACAATAATGAGGATCCGATTTGATTACAAGTCGGTGTAGTCGTTTTTATCTCCGCTATAAAACAAACCAAACATTCTTCGGCCATGATTTTCCTGCGGAGGCTCGTGCAGCTGTTGGTGCTGCTGATCCACAGCGCATGGTGGGGGGTCGCGTCGAGCCCCACAGATGAGGGAGCGCTCCGGGCCGGCCACGGGGAGCACGGAGAGCCGGGACACCAGGAGCCTCACAAGGACTCCTACAGCACCTTCGCCTCCGAGTTCCTGGAGTCCAGATATCTGAGCGATGACGGTAAGCGTTGGAGGCCTATTAAAGATTCCCAGTTGGTGGATTTTGTTTACATGTCCTTCGCAACAAACTTATAACAGACACGCTTATCGAAGAAGTCTGTGACTGTAAGCAGAAACTGAACATGACCTGTTTCTTTTGTCCTGCATCCAACCTGTCTCCACTGTGCAAGGCTTTTCAGCACCCAGGCCAGCTCCCCGGTGGTAGCTGCCCACCCCCTCTTTCTCTCTCTCTCGCTCTCTGGCTTCTCTCTCTCTCTCTCTCTCTCACACACACACACACTCCTCTATCCCCATAGGGACATAATGCATTCCCTAGACCCTTTTCCTACCCCTAGCCCTACATGTCTAACCATAAACCTTACCCTACCCTTAACCATAACCTAGAAGTCCCCATGGGTTAGTGTGCATTCAGGTTAAAGTCCCCACTGGGATATAAAAATATGAAACACACACACACACACACACACACACACACACACACACACAGAGTCCAGATGGCCTCTCCCTAGTTGGCCCTTTGACTGTCCTCAAAAACAGCATCACTTGTTTTTGTGTGGAACCAACAGAGTGCTGATTTTGCATTTCGCAGGATATCCATTCCCCACCGCCCCACCAGTGGATCCCTTTGCCAAGATCAAAGTAACCGACTGTGGAGTAACCAAAGGCTGCATAAGGTTAGAGAAGGATAAATCTTTTGCCAGCTCTTAGTTCTGAAAGTAGAGCTCCAGTGCAGATATATTCCCCATGGCCACTTTGTCCTAGATGCTGTGAGCTAAACTTGGACTCGGAACACTGTCTAGTCTTTTTCTCTGAAACCTAGATGAAATTCATTTAGAAAAGTGCCGTAGTTTGGCATAAATATTATTATGATATTGTGAACAGTGTGAAACTCAACTTCTCAAGTGACTGTGAGTGAGCGTGAGTGGTGACATTAATTTGTCTATATACAGATATGGGAAGCCAGGGTGTGATGCAGAGACGTGTGACTACTTTCTGAGTTATCGTCGCATCGGGACAGATGTGGAGTATGAGATGAGTGCAGACACAGACGGCTGGGTGGCTGTAGGTTTCTCCTCTGACAAGAAAATGGTGAGCAGTTGGACAACCTCTCTGACTTTGTTTTCCTGAGTGTAGTTTTGGACAGTACAATACATGTTTGTGTTATTTTCTAGCACAACTAATGTTTTTTTTAATTTGCTTATAAATTACTTTTTTTGTTGTATCAGATCAAGTGACACAATCTATAATTAAACACATTGGTGCATTGTTTCAAGATCTTGCAGTCAGTTATTTATGAAACCAAATAATTATCGACACAAAAATAAAATTTGAAGGCTTTTATTCCAAAAGCAGTTGTCCTTAATTTACATAATCTTCTTTTAAATTTTTGGCAGTAATGTAAAAAGCTTTATACATAGTATGGTAAGACATTTAATGATAAACACATAATGTATCATATCTTAAAACAGTGTAAATATGAGTGCTTACAAGATGATTAAAGGCATAATTAATTTCTATTACAAAATAACATCTTCAGACTTTTCTCTCTCTCTTTTTTTTTTTGCCTTTTTCTGAAACTTCAGTCTTTGGTGGAACAGGTCACAATTCATGTTGATACTGAAGCCATAACCTGTGCTAACAAAACATTGCCTCATTTAGGGGGACACAACCTTAACGGTTTGGGAACACTGTTTTAAGGAGTTAAATGTACACTGGCATTTAAGTAATACAATTGAAACAAAACCATTTTAGTTATTTATTTGGCATTGCATGTGTTCTTCATGAGAGAGAAAAAACTGTTTTGTTGAAACATTGTACCAATCGGCATTTACAAACATTATAAATGCAATCAAATGTTTAGACCCCCTTAGTGAAGCCCGGGCGGGCACCATATTGATATTTATCATTTTTTGTGTGACTGCTACAATTTTAAACTAACAGTTCAAACTACTTACAAACTTGTTCTTCCAAGAATGAACTTTGACATATCTGCCAGCTGTAGATGAATTTGACATCCAGTTGTATTAGAATCTTACTGTTTTTTAAAAATAAATGAATATGTAGCAGTTTGGAATAAACCTCTTTATTACTGTTCCCTCCTTATTCCTCAGGGAGGAGACGATGTCATGGGCTGTGTCCATGACGATAATGGACGTGTACGGATTCATCACTTCTACAATGTCGGCCAGTGGGCCAAGGAGATTAAGAGGAACCCGGCTAGAGACGAAGAAGGCATTTTTGATAGCAACCGTGTGACCTGCCGTTTTAAACGGCCGTTATACGTCCCCAGAGAGGAAACGCTTGTGGACTTACACCTGTCATGGTATTACCTGTTTGCATGGGGACCTGCCATACAAGGTGATCGATCAAGCTTTAGCATGAAGTCAGTCTTTGTGTGTTTTTTTCCTGTCATCATCGTCTTATACTGTCTTACCTTTTCGAACAGGTTCTATCACGAGGCATGACATCGACAGTCCACCCGTCAGCGACCACATGATCAGTATCTATAAGTATGAGGACATCTTCATGCCTTCTACAGCCTACCAGACCTTCAACTCTCCCCTCTGCTTACTGCTCATAGTAGCACTCACCTTCTATTTACTAATGGGAACGCCATAATGAAGCACAGCAGGGCACATAGTGGAAAAAAGAGGGAAGAGAATATGAAGCAGCAATAATAAGAAAGTTGCCATTTTTGTCTGATGCCACATTCTAGTGTGCATTTTGCACAAAGAGACACTATATTAGATTTACTAAACACGATAGAGTATGTACAGTTATTCTGAACTCATTCAGAGGATCTTGAAAAAGTATTAAACCTAGATGTCATGTACTGGTGTCAGTACAAAACGAGAGGTATGATAAATGATTAGTATTATTAGCTTAGGCCAGTTATTTTCAGTATCAATGATAGCTTCCAGAAAAAAAAACATAAATAAATAAACCTCACAAGTCTTTGTAATACTGCATGCATTGGGAAATCTGCGAATGATTTCAAAAACCCACTGTTCACTGGTGATGAGAAGACAGTGCCTCATGTTGAACTTGGCTGAAACACAAAAGATTTTCTGAGGACAAAAGAAACCAAGCGGCTCACAGCTGTTTGCACACACTCTTCCTGTCCCTTTACTCTGTTATATTTATATGGGTATTAAACTTTGCAAAAACAAAAGACAACTTATTTGGTGGTTCGTACCATCACAAAATATAGTTTCCAGGGACTGCCTACAGTATGCACTTACCATGTAAAAGAATTTCATTACTTTTTCTGTTTATGTATGGCACTGATAAACACTTGGCTCATTCCCTCTTTTCAACCAGAGTGGCTGTCGGGTTTCTTTATCAGTACTGTGGCACTGTGACATTAGTTAACAGACAGAGAGCGGCTGCTACATGAGTTACTATGGCCTATGCAAGCGGTAACACACTGAACAGGAGCAAACTGTTGATCATAAAGAAAAGTTTGCTTGGACATGGACTAATTTTTTCCCTAATGCTGTTATAGTAGCCTTTTGATCTGTATTAAAAATGGGTGGATGTGTTCAAACCTATGGTTAAAATATATCCCACTGAAACAATATGCCATGCTTGTATTTACTATCAATAAACCTTTTAAGAAATAACAATATAAACAAGAGAATCCTGTGATTTGCTTTGCATGAACAGACAGCATTGTAAGGTCATAGGAGATCATTTAAATAGAATTAAATAGTAATAGTAAGTAATGCCCTTTAAATAAAAATGTGTCTTGTAATGATCGAATAGTGGCTGTAACCATAATCCAACTGCAAAGTCATTATTCTAATCACACCACATAAAAACACATGCAGGACTCTTAACCTCAGTATGTCAAAAATACTGGTTATTGCCCTGATTTATTAAAGTGGCTTTATGTAAACATTTAATGTGATTATTGCATCTTTCAGATGGCATTCTACCAATGTGGGGCACCAAAGTATCCTGAAATGAAAAATTATACACATAATACTTTTAAAATAATATACGATGCAGCGCCACATCTTAAAAGAAAAACAAGAACATTATTTCTTTGTTTGGATAAAAGAAACAGTGCACATTTAGATAATAATATATTATAAAAATAACAATGATAAGACATTGTGATAACAATAATAAACAATACAACAAACAAACAACAGCATAAATTAAATGAAAGTGAGAATGATATGAAATTAAAATAAAAAATAAAATAGGATACAGGAAGTGTTTGCTATAAAACTACATTGCCCACAATGCCCTTCAGCATTTCGCCTAGGTGCTACGTCATGCTGTGTTTTCCTCCCTCACGCGGATCCCTCGGGTAGACTACCGAAGCGGAGCCCGGGAACATGGCAGACGAGAAGGACTCAGCGCCGGCCCCTGCCGCTGCGTCTACCCCGGAGAACCCTCTCTCTGGGCGGCCTCACTCTGTCTTTTTCTCCGAGAGCGTCCAGCCGGCCGTCGGGATGGTGAGCCAGCTGCTAACCCACCCCTCGTCCCTAAAGTTTGACAAAAACATCAAACAGGCTTTCTACAACACGGGGGCGATGATCTTTGTGGCGATCTGCTGCGGAGCGGCTGTCCTGGTCTACTTCATCCTGGAGGCCTTCCTCCGCCCGCTGCTCTGGGCAGTGCTCTGCGGCACCTTCCTCCACCCCTTCAAGTACTCCCTGGCCCGGCTCGGCCGCTCGTGGCTCAGCGGCCTGCAGGAAACGGGGACGCCCATCGTAGTGGGGACCTTGCTGGTTCCGGTGTGGTGTGTGAACTACGTGGTGGAGGCGATGGGCAGGTTGGTGCTGGAGAGGCTCACGGTCCTGCTGGTGATCGGGGCCGGTGCGCCGCTGCTCTACTTCCTCTACCTTTTCTGGAGCGTCATCGGCATGCAGGTGATCCTCGGGCACGTATGTGGGGTAATCGGGGCCGCGCTGGACTGTTTCCACGCTGTGTGGGTGAGTTAATGGACAATGCCCCCCCCCCCGTAATGATGACAAAAGCTGCTCCGTGTCACCCAGTGTGTGGAAGCCACTGGGTGGGCGAGGTCAGCTCTGCCAACTCGGTCACACCAAATGGCTGAAATCAATCACAATATTATCGCATTATTAATTACTTCCAATATCGATTGTTTTACTGTATGGAACATTGTGTGCAAAGTTTGATGCTCAATTTATTATTTAAAGTTTACTGCTCCCAGCTTCTCCAGTGTGATGCTGGTTTTCATGGTCTTCCATGATAAAGATGTTTTGGTTTTGGAAAGATGTTTTGGTTTTGGTATCACTATAAAAATGTTACCATATGATTGGCCAAAATGATCAATGTCATCTGATCTCATTAATTACTTTGATCCTCGTATATTTATAAAAATAAAAATAATAAAAATAATAAAATAACAATCTGTGCCATAAATGATGATACAGTTAGATCATGAATTGTGTACAAGTTACATTGTTAAAGGGGGACATAACAAGAACATAATTACATAAACGATCAATAGTTCAACAGACAAATAGCTGCAAAATGTATAAACTCCATTTCCTTGGAGTGTCTTATAATGGGTTATTCCATTAACCTCAGTGCAGAGAGTATTTTTCTTGGAACTTATGCCTAAACTTGTGTCTCAGCTGATCTAATTTTCCTCCAGTTTCAGCGTCTGATCAATCAATACCTCATTATTCCAAAACAGCTGCAGGGGCCTGAGCCCAGCCACGCTTTGACTAGATACAAATTGCATTAGATGTTCCTCTTCATACAGCCTGTCCTTTCTCTGAATGCAGAGGTAGAATGACACACGGCCCTTGTCTATAAATAGGACACTATATTAAATCACATCAAAAGATGTCTTTGTGTGGAACCAGGAAGACCTTTGTGACCATCTGTTCACAGACTGGAGCATATTTCATCCTTTCCTACCAGACAGCAGCAGATTGTTAGCTCCAGTCTGTTGGTTAATGGAGGTCTGAGAAACCCAGCGAGCAAGTACAGTTTGGTCACCTCAAGGTGCTTAAATGTTTTTGAAATATGCAGAAGTTTAGGAAAAATAATGTTCTGTCATGTTGTGCTCACATTATTAATGACATTATGAGATAGTAGCAGACACTATTTCAAATTCTAGATATGGTGATATTTATTGTTGAAGTATTGACTAATTGAAAATCAGTCAATAGTCAATAATAGTCATACCTGCTGGCCAGTGATCTTCATAGCGCCGGCCAGCAGGTATGATGAAAAGCAGGTATGAAAAAAAACAAAAACTATATTGTATGGTAAATGTATGCAAAGAATCACATTAAAAATTAGGAAATTGATGTTCAGTACAGTGAGCTGTGTTGTATTGATATTATCCATTATATTAGATTTTTTAGAATTATATTAGAATAATTGTCTGTAAAATAGTGAAAAATGCCCATCATAGTTTCCTAAAGCCCAGTGAGCCAAACAAAGCTAAACAAGAAATTTGAAGATGATCCAAAAACCCAAAAGATATTCACACACAACACAAAACAAAGAACAACTGTCTATTCTCCCATTTGAGAAGCTGGAATAAGGGAATGTTTGGCTTAAATAATTAATATTATAAAAATAGCTCCTGATACATTTTCTGTCGATTGGCTAACCGATTAATAGCTTCAACTCCCCAAAAAGAGTTCCTAATTAAATTCTGCTCTGAATCATCCATTTGGAGAGCGAAATGTTAATACTGAATTATTGCTGAGCCCTTCTTTACAAGTATACGCCTTAAACACGGAAATTCTTGAAAGTCATGAAACAAAATGTATGTGGAAGAAGCATCTGCTGAGCAACATGTTCCTTTATGTGATTGCACCCCTCCACCCCATTTAATATTATTTTGCTAACTTTGTTTCTTCTCAGGTGTTCACTTTAGTTTTTGGCTACTTGTTGGCGGTTTGTTTCAAGTGGAATCCCCACACTGAGCGCTACCTGAGGGCTCTGGCTCTTCCTGTCTGGGCCGTCCTACTCTTCTACATTGGTGAGTTTCTTTGCCCCTGGGAAGGTTTCTTCAAATTGTGCCTACATGAGGAGGCAGGTCGCTCCCACACGGGCTTCAGAGAACGAGGCTGAACACTTGTTTTTCCAAAGACGAGGGAGTGAAGTGGTTTTCTAGTTAAGACAAGGCACTGTCTCTACAGGTCCACAAGTCCATTAGACAGAGCTCATGCAGAGTTACAAAGTAAGATGAGGAAGTCTCTTGTATTTTTAGCACATGTTAGGCGTGCCGAAAGGAGATGTTGACCTTCAGGCGTGAAATGTTAAAAGTGACTGAGAGCTATTAAGAAGGAGAAGGAAGGTTTACATATGGCTGTGGGAAAAGCTGAGAAAATGCTCTCCATTAGGCACGTGTCTATATAAAAATGTTACCATATGATTGGCCAAAATGATCAATGTCATCTGATCTCAGTAATTACTTTGATCCTCGTATATTTATAAAAATAATTTTATGGCAAAATATATCTAGAAATGCATTTCAACTGGTCCAACAAGACACAGTAGTGCACCAGAGGAAGGGTTGGGTACCGTTTAAAATTTTACGATACCAGTACCAAAACCAGTCCCCTTAAAGTGATACCGATACATTTGAGCACTTCATTCCTCCCATAAAATGCCACCTGTTGAAGCCATAGTAGTTGATTGGTAGCCTATTATTATTTTTATTGTTGTTATAGACAAGGTTATCTATTTTATTTTTTCTTGTATCAAATAACTGTTACATAAAAAGTATTAGGAAATTGTATCAGATCGCATCTCGTCCTAATTAGGTCATCCTCACTTTTTATATTTGAATGAGAGAGGAGTGAAATAGTTTATTGAACAAAAAGTTGTAGGAAACAAACTTAAAGTATTTTTCTGATTCGTATGTTGAAAGTAAGCAACGGAAAATTATTTTGTTAACTTTTGATCAATAAACTGAATTGAAAGATCTCTGCGAGTGCTTTTTCCTTTATTGGTGAGTTGCAAACCTCCAAAAAGACGACAGTAACAAGTATAAAATGAGTAGGGAGTCTGTTTAAACAAGTCACTTAACTACACTAAAGGAGGAAGAGGAAAAGAGAATCTGCACGTCCAGCCGTTCAAACCAGCTACACCTGAAGCAGCTGCAGACGGAGGATCCGTAAATAAAATCAGCTGATCTCTGCTGCGCCACAAAAGCGTTTAATTGATGTGATGGAATGCAGCGATCAATCAGTGACAAGTGATGTGAATAGCAAATAAAAATGTACAGAGAAGTGTTAAATGATACCAGAAGATGAAACCAACCGAAAGCCAAGCTTGTGGTGATAAACTTGCAACAGTGACGAACATGC